CAAATGTTTTATGACGCTTTCAACTGCATTAGGTCATATGAGCGCACGGAACACATTAAACATTTTTGTTGATAAAAAATTTAGAATTTTGCTCAGGTGGTGGCCGAAGCCTACTCTTAGCGATTTTGGACCACCAAGGGATCTTTAACGTGCGCAGCATGTACATAGGACCTCCGAGATTTTAAGCCCTTGTCAAAGAAGGTTAAGTGTTAGATCTTACCCACCAGAAGATCAGAGGTGTGGCTGAAAGATAGCGGAAAGAAGGAGTCAAAGAGTTGCAGTAGAAAGTCTGCCGAAAGAATCAGGAGGCTAGAGGGGCGGAAAGTCTGTTGTCCGCCTCACTCACCTATGAGCCTAAGTACAGCATATTCAGCCTTCGGGTGGTCTGCTATGTAGCTGAAACCAAGGCACAGAACTCCGTCTTGCTTCTCGTGGATGTTCCGTTTTCTGGGGACGGATAATATTATGATGAATGTGTCAACATGCGGCGGATGTGGATATAGGCACAAGTCAGTGTTTTTAGCATTATCACACAAAATATTGACGTGAGGTTTGAGCACCATGTGTTCACAAAATTACATAACTTTGAATTTTTAGTGAGATCAATTTACAACGCAGAAATTATTTAGATCATTGGAAGTTTTTTAGTCTTTCAGACGTGATCAATGTTTCTGTCTGTTTATTGATTAAAAAAACCCAGCCCAATCTAATTATTATTTACCATGTTTGTAAATTGAACAAAAAATAACATATCAAACAAACCAAAACAACAACAACAACCACAAACAAACAAAATAAACAAAGTTCAACCTCTTACAAAAAAACTAACAAACAAAAAACAAGCAAACAAACAAAACTCAACTAGTTATCACGCCTATATTCGGCCCCCTCAATAGCCAATAAATACCCGTTTCTACTTGACTCGCTAAACTGCTACTCACTTACCACTCAGATAATCAATCATGCAGTTAATCAATTAATTTGATTGGTTGCTTTGATGTAGTTAGAGAACACGTATCATTACAGGCAGTACAATGCCATAGCTGCTCCACCTTCCAATCAAGGATCCATGAAAGGGTTGGCTTGCTGATTGTGCCAGTCATCAGCTGGTTAATCAATTAATCAATTACTCAATCAATCAGTCAAACACAAGAACCTTCGCGTGCTGTGTCCTTACCGTAAAGGGCAAACCGGTCGATAAGTCAATTTGTTGTTTATTCATTACATTGTTGATAAAATTATCTCCATCCACCAATTGATTCATCCATTCATCTATACACTAATTTGTCCTTTCATTCATTCATTCATTCATTCATTCATTCCTTCATTCCTTCGTTCATTCATTCATTCATTCATTCATCCATCCATCCATCCATCAATCCATCCATTTATTCCTTCTTTTATCCTTTCATTCAGTAACACCAACAAGAAATACCAACAGTTAGAGGTAGATGCTGAAAGTATTATCCACGCATCTGTACTCGATGACGTAAGCTGAACCGTGTCAAAATACTACCTGATGAGCTCGCATTTATTAATTCCTGTATTGATTCATTTATTCATTCTTCCATCCATCCATCCATCCATCCATCCATCCATCCATCCATCCATCCATCCATCATTAACAAGAAATACCAACCGTAAGAGGTAGATGTTGCCGGTATTCTCCACGCATCTGTACTTGATGACCTTAGCCGAGCCGTGTCGAAACACCACCTGGTGAGCACGTATTCTCACAAAGACACGGCGGCTGTGAGACAGAAAGTGCCACTTGTCCCGGAGTCGGGGGTGAGTTGCGCAGGCTGAGAGTGAAGGGAGATCAGGAGGTTGTGAATACATTATTCATTATGTTTTTGAGCTGAGTCTTTGTTTTATGGTATATTTATATTTTGGAAAAAAATGGGTTGTTTTAGGG